ATCTAACATCCATCCATCTGTCCATCCATCTTCCATCATCTAACATCCATCCATCCATCCGTCCATCCATCTTCCATCCATCTAACATCCATCCATCTGTCCATCCATCTTCCATCATCTAACATCCATCCATCCATCCGTCCATCCATCTTCCATCCATCTAACATCCATCCATCCATCTTCCATCCATCTAACATCCATCCATCCATCATCCATCCATCTAACATCCATCCATCCATCTTCCATCCATCTACCATCCATCCATCCATCCACCATCCATCTATCATCCATCCATCATCTATCCATCCATCTACCATCCATTCATCAACCATCCATCCATCTATCATCCATCCATCTACCATCCATCCGTCAACCATCCATCCGTCATCCATCCATCCATCCATCAAACATCCATCCATCCATCCATCTATCTACCATCCATCCATCCACCCATCTATCATCCATCCATCCATCCATCCATCCATCCGTCCATCCATTATCTATCCATCCATCACCCATCCATCCATCTATCATCCATCCATCTACCATCCATCCATCTATCATCCATCCATCCATCTATCATCCATCCATCTACCATCCATCCATCTACCATCCATCCATCCATCCATCTACCATCCATCTACCATCCATCCATCCATCTACCATCCATCCATCTACCATCCATCCATCTACCATCCATCCATCTACCATCCATCCATCCATCCATCTACCATCCATCCATCAACCATCCATCCATCCATCCATCTACCATCCATCCATCCACCCATCTATCATCCATCCATCCATCCATACTTCCGTCCATCCATTATCCATCCATTCAATTATCACCCATCCATCATCTGTCTATCATCCATCTATCCATCCATCCATCACTCATCCATCCATCCATCATCCATCCATCCGTATCCATCCATCCATCCTTCTACCTATTCTTTCTGTTCATCCATCCGTGTCCATCCAACAATCCATCCATCCCTGTCCATTCATCCATCCATCCATCCATCCATCCATCCATCCGTCCCTCAGTCCATCCATCCAATTAAGACCAAACCTCAGCCTCCCTCCTTCATGAAATCTTCGCTCACATCTCAGCCTTTAGCTGTAGAAGATGGAGACCCTCACTGAGGTTTTTAATGTGATGCTGAGTCATGTTC